CAGCCTCCACCTTCATCACCGGTAATCACCAAAGCAGAAGGGTTCGGCAGCTACCAGAAATGGGGAGAAGATGAAGCAGATCTAGCCGGTAATCATGGAAGCGAAGCATTCACTGAATCTCCAACCCACCGACGACAGGTTGAGGAGGACGTTCGCGGCGTGCGGTGTGTGGCGTTCATCGTTCGTGATGAAGAAGGAGAACATAAACAGATCTGCAATCTGAAATCCATTGTTTTTTTTTTTTTTAGTTTGAACTTAGGTGTTTCGGTGATATTTTGGTGTGCCGGCCGGTACACAAAATTTCGGCCGGTACACCGGATTTTGACCGAAACGACCGGATTTTGACCAAAACGAAATTTGATGTTGTACCGTTTCAGTTAAGTGTCAAAACCGGTTCGTACCGACCATACCGACCGGTACAGTACGAGATTGACTTCTTTGGATAAATTTATTCAGCAACTTTAACAAAATGAACAAGGGATAATTCCTAAAGGGGTGGTTTCAGAAAAATAATTATAAATTGTAGTAGCTTTAAAAAATATTTTTAATAAAGTCTTGAAATTTTAAATTATTTCATATTATCCTAGTATTACAACTTTTCCCTTGTCTTCTTCATTACCACAAACGGTTCAAACCCGTGATATAGGTTATTGCGATGTATTTGTCTTTTAAAAGAAAGAAAAAATTATTATTAAAAATAAATAATAACATAAAATATATAGAAAAATGTAATATTAAATAATTAGTTTACAAATATTTTAATAAATTTAAGAGATCTTTTAATACTCTATAATAAAAATTTGTGAAACTAAAATTGTTCTACCAAATCTAATTTATTTGATTTAAAACACAATTAATTCTAAGATTAGATTTAAAAAAATATTTTCACACAAATAAATAAAGAAAAATACTAACTATTACAAAAGTAGTCTCAAAAAAATGAAGACAAAAAAATCATATAAATGGAAAAAGATATAAATTAAGTAAAATATATTTACAAAATAAAAAAAAATTATAAAATTTACACCAATTGCCATTACTCAACTTAAAAGTTCTACCCACCAAAATAGTTTCAAAAATCAAAGTATTGTTATAAATCAATTCATTGTAAATATTTCACTTTCCATGGCATTTACACACCTAGTGGTGTTGTAACTTCCACTACTTCAATACAATAGCAATAGTGATTAACACACCATAATGTCATGTATTTAGATAGTGATAATGAGATTCCTTGTAATCTCTCCATTAGTAGGAGATTAATTCTTGTAACCTCTCATTTAATAAGCGTTTATTCCTTATAACTCCTATCCTCTATTAGCTCTTATGTATAGGGCTTATACTTTTACAAATATATGGAAATATATAGAGAACAAATGGAGAATAAATGAAGAAGAAAGGAATAAAAATTTAATATATTTTTGTATTGTCTCATTTTGTTTCTCTAATTTTTCTTCTTCTTCTTCTAATTGATTTTTTCTTTATTTTACAACAAATATTTACAAAATTAGCACAAAGTCAAATTCATTTTTAAAGAAACAAAAGCATAAAAGGGAAGTGAAATTGACTCTACCCTTCTTACACTACTTAAGATTCCTACGGCATCCTTTTTGTGCAAAAATCTAAGTTTTACAATTGGTTTAAATATCATTTTGGTCCCTCAACTTTCCACTTTGACACCAAAATTATCCCTCAACTTTAAAAAGTACCAAAACCATCCTTACACATTCATTTTTAATACCAGAATGGTATTTCCGTCAATTAAATGTACAGATTGCATGTTAAGTTGCCAAATAACTATATTTTTTTTGAAAAAATGATTGATGTGGAAAAGAAAACACATAAATTGATGAGGTGGCACTTTTTGTTTGGTTATGTGGCACTTTTAATTAAAATAAATAAATAAGGACTAATTATTATTAATTAATTAAAGTCGATTAACCTTCTTCTTCCTTATTCTCTTGTTCTTCTTAATCCTTTCCCTCTTTCTCTCTCTCATTCCTAGGCTTGTTCTTCTTCACTCTTCCTCTCTGTCTCTCTCTCTTGTCCCTGGGTCATCATTCCTCTAACATCTCTTCTCGTTCCACTTTTCCATTTCAACATTTTAGGTTATTTTTTTTTTTTTTACAAAGATTAAGCGAATCAAGGTTCACCTTCACCAGTGTTGGATTTTTTTCTTCCTCCTCTCCTCTCTCTTTTAATCCTTCGGAAATCAAACTTCTTCCTTCCTTTCCCCACTCATCCTTCTTCTTTCTTCTTCCTAGTCTTTTTCTCTCTCTTCTTCCTTTTTCTTCCTCTCCCAACCAAACCCAGATCTGGGTTTTCCCATCCAATGTTAACGTCTCCCTACAAAGAATCAAAACCAATGTCACATTCTTCCGCACAAACTACGTGATTGTTGTCCTGTTCCTCCTGTTCCTCAGCTTGCTCTAGCACCCCATCTCCTTGATCATCTTCATCATCATGATGGCTCGTGGCTAAAAGACAATGAACAAAATCAAAACCCCTAACAGTTATTTTAGCTTCCACCAAACAATTAATCTTGCACCTAGTTACTGTCGATGCTTGTATCCATCTCCATTGCTCCCATCAATATACCAAGAATCTCGCACAACAATGTGCAAGATGCCATACCTTAAGGTCTCAGATAACGAGATCCTTATTCTTCCTTGGAAGTATAACGGCTGGCAGTTGCAGCGGTGGCACTTGGAAGATAGAATCGAGTGTGGCGTAAGTTACCGGAGGTGGGTTCGGAGAAACGTTGAGTTTTGAGAAGGGGACAAGTGAGGATGAGAAAGGAGGAGAAGAGAGCATCTTAAGTAATTGTGTTATGGAGGTATGGGGTGGAAAATGGAAATGGAGATATGGGTTTGAGAAAAACCTAGATTTGGATTTGAGAAAAACCCAGATCTGGGTTTGATTTGGAAAGGAAGAAGAGAGAAGAGAGAGAAAAAGAATAAGAAGGAAAAAGATGATTTTTTTTTTGTTTGAAAAATTGTGAAACAATAATAAAAAAATATCAAATTTTCTTACTTGGAATTTACACGTCATTAAAATTAAAAAAATCCAGTGATGTTGTGGCATTTAACATGCAAACTGTCCATTTAACTGATGAAATGATTATTTTGGTACTTTTTAAAGTTGAGGGACAGTTTTGGTGCCAAAGTGGAAAGTTGAGAGATCAAAATGGTATTTAAACCTTTACAATTCAACTTTCCCTGCAATCGCTTTACCACAACTAGCCATTTATGTTCCTCATTCCCAACAGTTTTGATTTTAAACAGTATTTACTCAATTAAAAAAATAAACCTTTTTGCCATATATACAATCTATAAAGCACCAAGTTAAAAAACAATCCAAGAATTTTTAAGAAATGCATAAATTCCCTTATGCAGTGAAATCCAAATATTTCATAATCAAGCAAAGCAAATATTTCAAGACAATAGGACAACTGAGTAAGGAGAGATGAGAGAGAGAGGGAGAGAGAGAGTGAGAGTAAGTGGTCATCGTTCACGGGCTGGACGGTCATCATAGGGTAATGAGCAAGAGAGATCTCGAGGAAAAAGTTGGCAATGGAGGAAGTCATCAGCTGGTAAAAGACGATTGGCGAATGATCTAGTGCTGGACAAAAAGTCACAGGCTGGAGGAACCTATAACAAAGGCTTGTATAACCAAGCTACACCATTCTTCTTCACCAATTTCCCAGAAGAATGGAGCCACGCAGAAATGTGGAGTACTTTCTTACAATTTGGAAGGGTTTATGCTATATATAGCCCGAGAAGCAGGAACAGGAACGGTAACAGATTCGGCTTTGTGCACTTTCTAGATGTTAAAGATAAAAAGGAGTTGGAAAGGAAACTTGATCAGATCTGGATTGGCGACCACAAATTGTGGGTGAACATCCCACGTTATGATGCGATGAAAAAAAAGGAGACGGAGCGTAAAACTCCCCAAGGAAAGGACCTGAAAATTCCTCAAAATCCATTGCTAAACATACAAGGAAGAGGCTTTGCTAATGTGGTGAAAGGTTCGCGAGGCGCAAATAGTAGAAAGGTTTGGCAAGAGAAAGGACCAGGGGAGAACTGGCAAGGCATGGAGTATAAGGCAAAATCTGAAGATAGTGCATGGCTCGAGGGAACTTATGTGGGCACGGTCCACTCTGTTGAGATGGTCAGGAATTTATAGGAGAAATTCTACATGGAGGGATACTTTCATTGTCGAATCCGAGCTATGTGGGGTAAGCTAGTGCTGCTGGATTGTGAAGACAAAGAGGAGTTGAAGGACCTCATGCAAATGGCTTCAGAATGGCTAGGTCAATGGTTCGAAGAGGTCCATCCTTGGTCACTAGACAAGATAGCTCAGGAGAGGTTTGTGTGGATTCGATGCCAAGGAGCACCATTGAATGTTTGGGGCTCAGATTTCTTTGAAAAGATGGGAAGGTCATGGGGTAAATTCATTTGCTTGGACAATAGTACAAGCCAAAAAAAGAGGTTCGACATTGCAAGAATGCTGATATCTACTCCGATTATGGATTCAATATCCGTTAGACGCCAGATCAAGAACAATGGCTCCATTTACAATATAAGGTTCACGGAGGAGGAGTTCACCAATAGTTTCTTCTTATTGAAACAAGACTTTATTCCTTCTTTCCAGAGTGATACGGAAGAAAATGAATCATGGTCAACAGAAAGCTCCAAAGATGTTCATGATTTCCAAGACGTAGACGATGGAAGGCAAACCATGGATGAACCCAGAGATGCAGAGGGGGAAGAAGATGACGTGGAGAGATGCACAGGGGAATCCAACGGTAAAGTCCAACCCCAAGACCCTCAAGATGGTGACAGGACAATTGATGCAGTGCCTGACAGTATAGAAAATTTTGAAAATTTTGAATTTTCAAATGATGGTGAGAACAGAGCATGGGTAACGGGATCGGCACAAAAGAGGGGGTATGTAGCTTCCGATGCAGGATCCAGAAACAAGGAAGGCAGTCAGCTAGGCTTGGGGGAGCACAACAATAGTAAGCCATATGGAGTTGCTATTGAAAAAGGAGAAGGGCCAAATTGTGGCCCAAATAGTGAGGATTCAGTTCTTATGGCCCAGGCCCAAGAATCAATGGAAGGGGCAAGCCCAATAGTTAAAGGAAGGAAGTTTATTAATGGTAATAAGATGGATTGCTCTGGTCAAAGAATTGATGTTAGAAGGGGCACTTTCGGGAGAAGCTCGGGGAGCGAAGAGAGGAGTGCTGGTGATGGTGTGCAGAGGCGTACAGCCGGAGCTCAAAAGAGAAGGAAAATGAGATTCAGAACATGCAGATCTGTATACCTACAAGAAGCCTCGATGCAGAAGAAGCAAAGAAGGAAAAAGGGGTAAGATCGCCGGAGCAAGCAGCCAACGAGGAGGGAGATTCTGCCAGTGTTTATAGCCAGTCCAAATGGAGAAATAGCAAGCGAATCTGTAAGGGACAGCAGGATTCAAAATTGCAACAGATCCCTAAAAAGAAAGATGCAACAGAAGCTTGTTAAAGAGATTTGGGATCTAGCCAAGCAGCTTGGAGCGATGGCAAAGTGTGATGAGGAGGTTATTCGTAGAATTGATGAAATGGAGAAAAGAGATAGCCAAGCCAAATCATATGCGAAGAAGAAGGAAGCAAAAGGTGTGAAGAAGGTATGTCTTGATCCCAATGATAATGCTGTCTTTTAATATTAGAGGATTAGGAGGGGCGGGGAAACGAAGGCACATCAGGGATATATTTGTGAGGGAGAAAGTGGTTTTTTTAGCTATTCAAGAAACCAAAATGGAGGTTGTAGACGAGAAGTTGTGTAGGAGGGTGTGGGGGACGGAGGATTTTGAATGGATTGCCAAGCCTTCTATTGGTCTGTCGGGTGGATTGTTGTGTGTGTGGAACAATAAAACCTTTAAAAAGAAAGATGTGATAGAAGGGGACCATTTCATTGGGGTGTTTGGGACATGGGGGGAAGAGGGTGTACCGGTTTACATTTTAAACATATATTCTCCATGTGAATTGTCTGGAAATAGAGCACTTTGGAAGGAGTTGCAGAATCTGACCTCAAATAAGAAAGGCAACTGGTGTTAAGGGGGGGACTTTAATGCTGTCCGGAGCACAGGGGAGTGGGCAGGTTGCAAAGGGATGTCCAGAGAAATGAAAGAATTCGACAGTTTCATCAACGAATCTGGGCTGGTTGATTTGCCTTTGGTAAGGAGGAAGTTCACCTGGTACAACTCTAACGGCCAATATATGATCAAGATTGATAGATTCTTGGTTTCAGAGGATTGGTTTTTGAGATGGTGTGATGTTAAATAGTGGGGGTTGAAAAGATCAGTTTCAGACCATTGTCCCGTTTTATTGAAGAATGAGCAGCTGGATTGGGGACCAAAGCCTTTCAAATTTTTTGATGCTTAGCTGCAGGATCCTGGGTGCAAGGAGCTGATTAGAAAAACATGGAACTCTACGGCAATGGAAGGATGGTATGGATTTAGACTCAAGGAGAAGCTTAAAAGTACGAAGAAAGCTTTAAAAGAATGGAGCAGAAATTCTGTGACGGAGGTGGACAAGAAAATAATGGAAGCTGAGAGAGTGATAGCTCAACTGGATGAGAGAGGAGAAAATGTCCAATTGTCACCAACTGAAATTGAAAAGAGGAGAAGCAATTTTCTTGAATTGTGGAACAACCTCAAATTAAAAGAGAATATGTGGCAGCAAAAATCAAGATTGATGTGGTTAAAGGAAGGTGATGCAAACACCAAATTTTTCCATATGTGTGTGAAAGGAAGATGGAGAAAAAATGAAATTAACAACATCCAGATTAATGGTGAGCAGCATAAGGGAGTGGGGGAAATTAAAGAAAAAATGGCGAGTTACTTCGAGCAGCTTTTCACAGAAGATAAGTGGCAGAGGCCCAAGCTAGACGGTATCAGCTTCAAACAGATTGATAGGGCAGACAATGAATCCCTTACGGCAACATTCTCGAAAGAAGAAATCAAAAATGCTGGATGGGATTGTGAATTGTTAAAGTCTCCAGGTCCGAATGGATTTAATTTCAAATTTGTGAAGTGCATGTGGGAAGATATAAAATTTGAGATTGCTGGTTTTATCAAAGAGTTCCAGGAACAAGGTAGGCTTGTAAGAGGATCAAATGCCTCTTTCATAACTCTAATTCCAAAGGTAGAAAACCCCTAAAGGATTGAAGAATATAGGCCTATTTCTCTTATCGGAGTTATGTACAAGATAATTGCGAAGCTATTAGCAAATCGCCTTCGAAAAGTTCTGGACAAAGTTATCGGAGAGCAACAAATGGCATTCATTAAAGGTAGACAGCTAGTTGATGGGGTGGTTATTGCTAATGAAGTGATTCATGAGGCAAAGAGGAAAAAGAAGAGAAGCTTCCTTTTCAAGGTCGATTTTGAAAAAGCATACGATAAGGTGAGTTGGGATTTCCTTGACTATATGCTAATGAGGATGGGCTTCTGCAGTACATGGAGAGTGTGGATACTTGAGTGTCTACAATCTAGCATGGTCTCAGTTCTGGTCAATGGAAGCCCTTCAAGACAATTTCCAATTAGCAAGGGACTTCGCCAAGGAGACCCTTTATCTCCTTTCCTATTCCTGATTGTAGCAGAAGGGTTGAATGGTTTAATGTCCTCTGCAATTGAAAAAGAGTTATATAAGGGCGTGACAATTGGCAAGGACGCGATAATGGTTACCCACCTTCAATTCGCAGATGACACCATCTTTTTTAGGGAAGCAACAGATGATAACATCATGGTGATTAAAAGTATAATGAAGACTTTTGAGCTGCTCTCTAGACTGAAAATTAATCTACAAAAGAGACAACTTATGGGCATCAATGTTGAAGATGGCTGGGGAAGCAAAATGACCTATAGATTATGTTGCAAAAAAGGGGAATTCTCATTTAAATATTTGGGAATTCCCATCGGGGGAAGCCATAGAAGGATCTCAATGTGGCAGCCCTTGTTGGACTCTTTTAAAAAGAAGTTGACAAGATGGAAGGGTCGACAACTTTCCCTTGGGGGTCGGATCACGCTCATTAATTCTATGTTGACCAGTTTGCCGGTGTTCTTAATGTCAGTTTACCTAATCCAAAAAGGTACTCTTAAAGTTATTGATAAAATTCGTAAGAGTTTCTTATGGGGAAGGGAGGGAGAAAGGAAAAAAATTAATTGGGTCAATTGGAAGAAGGTCTGCATGCCGAAAGAATATGGTGGGTTGGGAGTGAGAGATCTAGGGTACTTTAACTTGTCATTGATGAGTAAATGGTGGGGGAGGTTAGCAGTGAAAGAGGAAGGATTATGGGGGAGAGTAATAGCAAGTAAGTATAGTGAGGGAAGGGGGCACTAGCAGGATTGGGTTAGGAACGGGGCAGGAGCTAGCTCTTCTTGGTGGAGAGATGTCAGAGGGATTAATAAAGTAGGAGGGGAAAATTCAGGGTGGTTAACAGAGGGTTTTAGATTGAAGATAGGAGAAGGGAAGGACATGAGCTTTTGGTGGGATGAGTGGTGTGAGGAAAATTGTCTAGCTAACAAATTCCCAAGATTGTATCTTTTATCTGTAGGAAAGGAGAAAGAATGCTACCAAATGGGATCTATTTGCAATGGAACTTGGAAATGGAATCTTACATGGAGAAGGAAGCTGCTCAAAAGGGAAGAAGAGGCTGCAACAGAACTCAACACACTGATTGAGGGCGTGAAGATATCTCCTGGCCGGCCTGATGAATGGGAGTGGACACACAGGAAGGATTCCCATTATTCAACCACATCAGCGAACTCACTCTTGACAAAGGTGCCGAGGTGTCCGATTCAAGAAAAAGTCTTCAGGAGAGTATGGAATCCCAACCTGCCAAACAAGATCTCTGCTTTCAACTGGCAACTGCTGCTCAATAGACTCCCAACCAAATCCAACTTGCTGAAAAGAGGATTTGGCTCAATCATGGGTGATGGCAAATGCAACCTGTGTCAAGAAGAGGAAGAAGATGCAACCCACTTGTTTTTGAAATGCAAAACAGCAAGATGGCTTTGGAAAAAGTGTGCTAGGTGGTGGGGGATCAGTATAGAGATACAAGAGGACTGCTGGAAGACTTTTGAACATCCGGGGGCGTGGCCCAGAAACATAAAGATCAGAAAAGGATGGGACTACACCTGGAGTGCAATAGTACGGTCCATTAGGCTGATGCGGAATAAAAAGATCTTCCAGAACCGAGAGATGAACTTGGGTAAGCTACTCGAACTTGTTCAAATACGATCTTTCTTATGGATTAAAGCAAAAAAAGCCTGGTGTTACTTTAGTCTTTCGGATTGGTTAAGCAATCCTGTTGCATGCCTCACTGTTAATTGTGGTGGTACATGCTAGGGAGGGAATAGTCTGAAAGATGGAATTAACATTATGTGGCTTGGTTTTGTGTTGTTTAGTGTAATTTCTTGGGTTGAGTACCCCTTGTACTCTTTATCAATAAAGTTTACTGTTCAAAAAAAAAAAAAAAGCAAAGCAAATATTTCCAAACAAGAAGCAGAAAGAACTAAGCAAACAAAACCAATATCAATTTAGCAAAAAAAAGAAAAAAAAAAACCTACAAAGAAAAATTTTTGATTCTACCTGTTGCATGATAGAATATCATACCAAAAAATGACAAACCAAGAAAAAAAACACTGAAGATGGGATGGAAATAAACAAGAAGCTGAGGGATGGAAAGCTTGAAGACGAATTTAGATCGGAATTTTTTTTTTTTTTCCAAAGTAGGTTGAAAAGAATGATGAGGGAATTTAGGTATGGTAACGAGGAGAAGGGGAAAGACGAAATTGTTCGGGTACTAATTTGTGATAATTTAAGATTTCAAGACTTTTTTAAAAATATTTTTCAAACCTATTCTAATTTGAAATTGTTTTTTTTTTTTTAACCACCCTTTTTCAATAACCATCCCAATGAAAAATTCCTCAGCAATACCACACAAGTCACTATCTTGACTCATTCTCAATTGAAGTTCCCTTTGGTTTAAATTTAGTTAACCTAATTTTTAATTTGGGGTATTTAAAGTTAGTTATTCATATTTTTTTAAGGATATCATTAAATGTATTTGTTCTCTTTCTACCCTTATTTTAAGAATGTAATTACAATATATATTATAATAAGAATACTTATTTAAATAGTAGCTAATTATAGTTAAGTATAAAATTTTATCAATTAATTTGTACATCTATATTTTATTTATTTGTTATATCACTTATCATGTATACACATATTCCTTAGTAATGCCTTACATCAATCTTTTTTATACATTAAGAATTAGATACTTAACAATATTAGTAATATTGTAATTGTTTAAAATTGTCTTAAATAAATATTTTGAATTTGATGAGTACTGATTTAGTTAAACTCTTATTAGTTAATAATGCCTACATCATTTTTCTTCTCAATTTTTTTTTAAATGAGGAAGAAAATATTTTCTAGTCAAAATTTTGGGTTTGCCACACATAAAGACATTTTGACAATAAAAAAAATTAAGATTTTTTATAAAAAGATTTAATTACTCTTAATAAATTAATTTATAAAAAAATATTAAAAATATATAAATAATTTCATAAACAATTTTAACATCTTAAATACTAGAATACACTAAATATATATAAATAATTTCATAAACAATTTTAACATCTTAAATACTA